TGCGAAGTCTGCAGAAAGCAATTTTAGTATCCTCTTATTTAGGAGGGGATGTGCTATAATTTTCCTTCAAATTAGACCCCTCAAGTCCTTACCGGTCACTGGAAAGAAGCACCAGCTGATGATCCTAGAAGGAGACTAAGCCTTTGAGTTGATTTTCCACAATGGGGCACACAGGCTGGTACCTCCAGCTGCACCCCCACCCCCCATCGAAGATGGGATTTTCACAGTATTATTGCCCCAAAGACGAGCAAATTTGGGGTGCCCTGAGATGCAACCACCCCTGGCCTTGAGGCTTTAGAAACAGAAATGGGAGCTGGTGTTTTGGCAAGAGAACCCGGCCAGATCTCAGAAAAGGGATGACAGACAGACAACGTCGTCTGAGTCGTCACCCACTGAACTGTCGTGTGTGCGCAGCGATGGCAAGGTTTCTTCCTACGCGTGTGGTACTGGGAGGATACGTAATATTTTAAATTCTGAGACCTGAAGGTACAGGTGTGATAATCGCCATGGGAAAAGTAAAAGAGTATTTAGGTACAGACAGCCCCCGACTTAGGATGGTCTGACTTAGGATTTTTTTTTTTGACTTGATAGTGCGAAAGTCGTAGACATTTGGCGGGAGTCCAGCTTTGAATTCTGATCTTGGATCTTTCCCGGGGGTAGCAATGTGTGGTATGATCCTCTCGTAGGATGCTGGGCAGGGGCAGCCAGCCACGTGCTCGTGGTACCCATACAACCTTCCTGTTCTTTCAGTACAGTTTTTGATAAATTACACCTTCTTATAAAAGAAGCTTGGTGCTAGATGATTTAGCTCAACTTTAGGTGAATGTAAGTATCCTGGGCACTTTAAGGCAGGCCAGGCTAAGCCACGATGTTCAGGAACTGGGGTGTCTTACGTGCCCTTTGCATTTGTGATACTGTCACCTTTTTGCGGGACCTAAACCCATCGTTAAGCCAAGATCTGAACTCCTGTGGCCTGATCCTAGCGTTATTTATTCCACGTACGTGTTTACGTCTGAGAGTGTGTGTGACAGAAATGCATCTTTATTTCCCCTGAAGCTCAAGTGCTTAACTTCAGTGACTGAAACCACACACTAATGCACACTTGTGGTCAAAGACTGCAAAGCTTTTTCGTATTTAAAAAGATTTAAAGCACAGACCCAGAAATCAAAGAGCAAGTCATAAGCAGTCTGTTTGCTAACGAGAAGCCCTTTCCAAGTCTGGACTGCAGTAGGGGGAACCAGACACCCCGGGGGGGTACCCTGAAAGTGGGGCACTTTGGGTGGGCTTCCCAATGGGGAGAGCTGAAGTTCACTTTTCAGAACCATGTGCAGGGGGCATCAGAGATGAGACATGCCTTTCATTTCTGAGGTCTCCTTTCAAGGCTTATTTCCAAGCCTTCCTTCCCCCCCCCCCCCCCACCAGCTTTCTGCCTAAGAAACTCACACCCTCAACCTAATGTTTACTTTTTTGGAATAATTTTTTTTATTGAAGCGTAGTTGACGTACGGTGTTAGATTAGTTTCAGATATAGAACGTGGTGATTCGACTGGTCTGTATGTTCTGCTCTGCTCACCGCATGGGTAGCTACGGTCTGCCTCCACAATACCACCGACCAGATTCTCTGCTATACCTTTTATTCCTGTGATTTAACCATTCTTCAACTGGAAGCCTGGATCTGCCACTCCCTTTCGCTTGCTTTGCCCATTCCCTGCCGTCCTCCCCTCTGGCAACCATTGTTTTGTTCTCTTTATTTCTGAATCTGTTTCTGCTTTTTGTTTTATCTTGTGTTGTTTTTTCGATTCTACATACAAGTGAAATCAGGTGGTATTTGTCTGACTTGACTTAGCATAATGCCCTTTCGGTCCATTCACTTGTGGCTCATGTCAAGATCTCATGATTTTTCTATGGCTGAGAAACTTACACCGCCATCTTTGGGTGGCTTCCATATCTTGGCTATTATAAATAAAGCTGCAATAAATACAGGAGCATGGTGATCTTTTAGAGAACTAGTGTTTTCATTTTCCCTGGGTAAATACCCAGTAGTGCGATTATCATAAGGTATTTCTATTGTCAACTTTCTGAGAAACCTTCGTAGTGTTTTCCATAGTGGCTTCCCCAATTTACATTCCCACCAGTAGTGTACGAGGGGTCCTTCTTCTCCACGTCCTACCAACACTTAATTCTTGGCTTTTTGATTCTAGCCATTTTGGCCAGTGTAAAGTGATATTTTGCTGTGGTTTTGATTTGCATTTCCCTGGTGATGAGTGATGTTGGACATCTTTTCTGTGTCTGTGGGCATCTGTAGGTCTTCTCTGGAAAAATGTCTACTCAGATCCTCTTCGCAATTTTTTTTTTTGATCGTCTTCCTATTTTTATCTAAAAAAAATTTTTTTTTTACATTTTTAATTTATTTTTGATAGAGGGAGAGACAGAGCACAAGTGGGGGAGGAGCAGAGAGAGAGGGAGACACAGAATCCGAAGCAGGCTCCAGGCTCCAAGCTGTCAGCTCAGAGCCCGACGCGGGGCTCGAACTCACAAACCACAAGATCATGACCTGAGCCGAAGTTGGACGCTTAACCAACTGAGCCACCCAGGCGCCCCTCGTCTTCCCATTTTTAAATCAAGTGTGTGTGTGTGTGTGTGTGTGTGTGTGTGTGTTGAGTTGTACAAGTTCTTTATGTATTTTGGAGATCAACCCCTAATGGGATATATCAATTACAAACGTAGGTTGCGTTTTCATTTTGTTGATGGTTTGATTTGCTGTGCAGAAGCTTTTTATTTTGGTGTAGTCCCAGTAGTTTATTTGGGCTTCTGTTTCCCTTGCCTGAGGAGACTTACCTAGAAAAAGGTTTCTACAACAGATGTCAAAGAAATTACTAACTTTGTTTTCTTTTAGGGATTTAATGGTTTTAGGTCTCCTATTTTGGTCTTTAATCCATTTTAAGTTACTTTTTGTGTATGGTGTGATAGTGGTCCAATTTCATTCTTCTGCTGTAGCTATCCAGTTTCCCCAACACCACTGATCAAAGAGATGGTCTCTTCATAATTGTATATTCTTGCCTCCTTTGTCATAGTTTGACCTTTAAATGCATAGATTGACTTCTGAGCTCTCTATTTGGTTCCATTGATCTGTGTGTCTATTTTTAGGATAGTCCTACACTATTTTCACTCCTGTAGCTTTGCAATATATTTTAAAATCTAGGATTGTGGTATCTCCAATTTTTATTTCCTTAAGAATGCTTTGGGTATTGGGGGTCTGTTGTGCTTCCTTAGAAATTGTAGTATTACTTGTCCTAGTTCTGTGAAAAATGCTGTTGATGTTCTGACTGCGCTGAGCTTGTAGACTGAGTTGGGTAGTATGAACATGTTAACAATATTAATTCTTGCAATCCGTGAGCATGGACTATATTTCCATTTGTTTGTGTCCTCTTCAATTTCTCTTACCAGTGTTCTATAGTTTGCAGAGTACAGGTGTTTTACCTCCTTGGTTAAAGTTATTCCTAGGTATTTGATTCTGTTGAAGTTGTAAAGGGAGTTATTTTCTTTGTGCTTCTTTGTTACTAGGGTACAGAAACTCAACTTTGCCGTGTATTGGTTTTGAGTCCTGCAACTCTACTGACAGCACTTACTCCAATAGGTTTTTGGTGGCATCTTAGGGTTTTCTATGCATAGCATCGTGTCACCTGGAAACAGTGACAGTTTCACTACTTTCTTACCCATTTGGATGCCTTTTCTTTCTTGTCTGATTTGCTCTGGCTACAACCTCCACTACCATGTTGAATAAAAGTGGTGAGATAGACTTGTCTATTCCTAATGTTACAGGAAAAGCTCTTGTTCACTGTTGACTAGGATGTTATGCTTGGGTTTCTCCTACATGGGCTTTATTTAGTTGAGGTATGAGCTCTCTAACATGAATTTTTCATCTAGAACGGATGTTGAATTTTGTGAAAAGTTTTTCCTGCATCTAGTGAGATACTCATATGATTTTTCTCCCTTGTTAATGTGATGTATCCTGTTGACTGATTTACAAATATTGAACCATCCTTGCATCCCAGGAATAAGTCCCATTTGATTGTGGTGAATGATCCTTTAACGTATTGCTGAATGAGGTTTGCTAATATTTTGCTAAGATTTTTGCATCTATGTTAGTCGAATATTGGCCTTTAGTTTTCCTTTTTATTTTTTTTGTGGTATCTTTGGTTTTGGTATCAGGGTAATGCTGGCCTTGTAGAATGTATTTCGAAGCTTTTCTTTCTCTTCTGTTTTTTGATCTAGTTTGAGGAGAATAAGTATTAAGGCTTCTTTAAATGTTTGGTAGAATTTGCCTGTGAAGTCATCTGGTCTTGGACTTTTCTTGGGGAGTTTTTTGATTACCAGCAATGAAACTGAGTCAGTCATCACCCTGTTCAGATTTCCTACTTCTTCCTGATTCAGTTTTGCAAGATCGTTTATAGAAATTTGTCTATTTTTTCTAGGTTGTGCAATTTGTTGGCATTTAATTTTTCATAGTACTCTTAGAATCTTTTGTGTTTCTGTAGTGTTGGTGGTTCTCTTTTGTTTCTGATTTTGAGTCTTTTTTTTTATCTTGGAACATCTGGGTAAATGTTTATCATTTCCGTTTATCTTTTCAAAGAACCAGCTCTTGGTTTCATCTTCTCTTTTGTGTTTTTAGTCTTTTTCATTTATTCTTGCTCTGATACTATCTCCTTCTTTCTACTAACCTTAGCCTTGGTTGTTCTTTTTCTAGTTCCTTTCAATGTAAGGTCAGATTTTTTTTTTTTTATTTCAATAGAGCACATGAGCCAGCAGGGGAGGGGCAGAGAGAGAGAATCCTAAGTAGGCTCTGTGTTGTCAGCATGGAGCCTGATTGGGGGGGGGGGGGCGGGCTCGATCTCACAAATGTGAGTTCACGACCTCACCTGAAATCAAGAGTTGGACACTTAACCATCTGAGCCACCCAGGTGCCCCTAGATTTTTTTCTAGAGATATTTTTTTCTTGAGAAAAGTATGTATTAGTATTAATTTTCCTCTTGTAAAAGCTTTAGCTGTGTCCCCAAGACATTGGACTGTTGGTTTTAGTTTCATTTGTCTCTATGTATTTTGATTTCCTCTTTGATTTCTTTGACCCATTGGCTGTTGAGTATCATGGTGTTGAGCCTCCATGGATTTTGTGTTTTTTTCCAATCTTTTTAAATTTACTGAGACCTGGGGCGCCTGGGTGGCGCAGTCGGTTAAGCGTCCGACTTCAGCCAGGTCACGATCTCGCGGTCCGTGAGTTCAAGCCCCGCGTCAGGCTCTGGGCGGATGGCTCAGAGCCTGGAGCCTGTTTCCGATTCTGTGTCTCCCTCTCTCTCTGCCCCTCCCCCGTTCATGCTCTGTCTCTCTCTGTCCCAAAAATAAAATAAACGTTGAAAAAAAAAATTTAAATTTACTGAGACTTGCTTTGTGGCCTAACATGTGATCTATCCTTGAGAATGTTCCATGTGCACTTGAAAAAAATGTGTATTCAGATGCTTTTGGGTGGAACGTTCTGTATTTATTTATTTGTCTCCCTCCCTTTTTTAAAAATTATTTTTTAAAATTTACATCCAAATTAGTTATTATATAGTGAAGCAATGATTTCAGTAGATTCCTTAATGCCCCTTACCCATTTAGTCCATCCCCCCCCACAACCCCTCCAGCAACCCTCAGTTTGTTCTCCATATTTATGAGTCTCTTTTATTTTGTCCCCCTTCCTGTTTTTATATTATTTTTGTTTCCCTTCCCTTATGTTCATCTGTTTTGTCTCTTAAAGTCCTCATATGAGTGAAGTCATATGATTTTTGTCTTGCTCTGACTAATTTCACTTAGCATAATACCCTCCAGTTTCATCCACGTAGTTGCAAATGGCAAGATTTCATTCTCTTTGATTGCGGAGTAATACTCCATCGTACATATATGCCAAATTTTCTTTATTCATTCTGTATATAATAGATCCATCCGGTCTAATGTGTTGTTGAAAGACACTGTTTCCATACTGATTTTCTACCTGATAATCTATCCATTGATGTAAGTGGGGTGTCCAAGTCGCCTACTATTACTGTATCACTGCAGATTTCTCCCTTTATGTTTAATAGTGGCTTTATTTACTCAGCATTCCACCGTTGGGTGCATAGATATTTGCAACTGTTACATTGTTGTGTGGAATTGATTGCTTTATCATCCTGGTAATGCCCTTCTTTGTCTCTTATTACAGTCTTTCTTTTAAGGTCTATTTTAAGTATTGATACATTGGCTTTTCCCCATCCCTCCACTGGTCTATATACGTCTTGAGGTCAAGACTCAACTTGAAGTTGAGTTTCTTGTAGGCAGCAGGTAGACTGTCTTGATTATTTATTCATGCTTCCATCTTATCTTTTTTGATTAAATGTAAATGGTCCAAATGCTCCAAAGTAACTTGTGATAGGCATGTCCTTACTGTCATTTTGTAAAGTCATTAAACCTACATTTAGAAAATGTAACACCTGGAATGGGGTGGCCAGGCAGAGCTTACCGAGCTGGCCAATATGACCAGCACGAAATGGTCCATGAAGTCTCCACATTCCACGAACCCTTGGGGTGATGCTCTTTCTTAACTACATCTACCTTGGGGGATAGTCCAAGGGCCCCACATAAGTAGGCTCTTTCCCTGTATGGTTTCCAAATACAGCTTCATTTTGGTTTCAAATAGAAATTTCTGCCCACCATATAGACAAGGAAAGCCCTGATTTGGTTTTTTTCTCTCCAGGCTAACAGAGGCAATCATCCTGTGTTCCCTTTCTCTGCACCAAGCCCCCATTTTCTTCAGCAATTTCTGAATTCTCTTTACCTCAGCCCTGCTTTGTTTCCTTTCTAGTTTCTATTCTTCTTCTGGCGAATGTTCCTTCTGTTGCCCTGAGGGCACAACTAGTCCTGCCTCACGGTAGCCAAAGCTCCCGGCATGCCCACACACATGCGCATAAAGGCTTTACAATGCCTCACCCTAACCTCATCCCAGGGGCTCTGGACTCCCCTCCAGCTCTGGGTTCACTAGATTGATTTCTCAGCACTCCCTGAATTTCAAACACAAAACAGTCACTGTTGGACTCTGGGAAGCTTTGAATCTTTTTCTTCCTTTCCTCAGCTAAGGCTCTATTTACATTTTATTGTATTCCTGTCTACCTCATGTTGGGGGTTACTTCACAAGACACAATCACTTGAAGATAGATTGGAGGGGGGCCTTCTCTTTGTCCAACAGCTGCAGAGATAGAAAAGTGCACCATATTCTTGGAGCGGGTTGGGGGGGCGGGGGAGATGACTGTTCAGGTTAGTGCTACGGAAGCGAGGACACCAGGCGTGACTAGGTTAAGCGACACGACTATGGCATCTCATAGATGGAAGGAACCTTAGAGAAGCTATGGTCCAAACTGCCTACCTGGACACTTAAAGTAAAAAAAAAATTAGGCTTAGGATCAGAGGTGAAAATACTCGGCTAAGAACCAAGGACTGTAGGCCTCTCACCAAGAACCTGTGAGGGCGAATGTGAAATGTTCCTGAAGGGCATGTCCAGCTGGGATGAAAACTACCACGTTGTGCCCAGTCTGACAGAATGTCTGTTGAAATCCAAGATGCGGGGGCACCTGGGTGGCGCAGTCGGTTGAGCGTCCGACTTCAGCTAGGTCACGATCTTGCGGTCCGTGAGTTCGAGCCCTGGGTCAGGCTCTGGGCTGATGGCTCAGAGCCTGGAGCCTGTTTCCGATTCTGTGTCTCCCTCTCTCTCTGCCCCTCGCCCGTTCATGCTCTGTCTCTCTCTGTCCCAAAAATAAATAAATGTTGAAAAAAAAAATTAAAAAAAAAAAAAAAAAAAAGAAATCCAAGATGCGGGCAGCACAGGGCATGCCCGGTCTCTTGCCAACCGTTAAATGCCCTATCAGAATTCCACGCCGACCAGCAGAGACTACAGGCATACTCTGGGGTGGCTGGGGCCATTTCTTAAGACAACAATGAAGTTAGTGGCATCGGCTGACTCTTCCTTTCCTGAACCGTCTCTCTGGAGGATGGTGATGCTATGTGACAGCATTGTCCCCACAGCCGAACGTCTTTCAAAATTGTAGTCCGTCTTCCCCGCCACTGCTTTATCAACTAAGTGTGCCTAATAGTTTAAATTCTTGGCTATCATTTCAACCATCTGCACAGCACCTTCTCCAGGGACAGATTCCATCTCAAGAAATCATTTTCTTTGCTGATCTACAAGAAGCGGCACCTCACGTGTTCAGGTTTTCTCAGGACGTTGCAGCCGTTCAATCCCATCTTGAGGCGCTAGCCCTCTTGAGCTTCCCACCCATCCACAGTTACTGACTCCGCCGAAACCCGGAATCCCTCAAGGTCCTCCCTCAGGACTGGAATAAACTTCTTCCAAACTTGAATTTAGGCTGATATTCTGGGCCTCTTCCCCTGAATCACCTATGTTCTTGATGGCATCTAGTAAATCTTGCCAGAACATTTTCAATTTACTCTGCCCAGATCCATCACAGGAATCATTATCTAGGGCAGCTATGGCCTTATGAAATGTATTTTTTGAGACCTGAAACTCAAAATGACTCCTTGCTCCATTGGCTGCAGAATGGAGGTTTTGTCAGCAGGCAAGGAAACCACAATCTGGGCATCTCCCTCAGAGCTGCTGGGTGATCCGGTGCATTGTCAGCAGTAATACTTTGAAAGGAATACTGTGTTCGGAGCACTAGGTCTCCACAGTGGGCTTGAAATGCTCGGTAAACCATGCTGTAAACAGATATACTGCCATCTAGGCTTTGCTCCATTTAGAGAGCACAGGGAGAGTAGAATTAGCACAATTCTTAAGGGCCCTGGGATTTTCAGAATGGTACCTGAGTGCCGGCTTAAACTTAGAGGCTCATGGGACTTTAACAAGAGGGCCAACCTGTCCTTTGAAGCTTTCAGGCCAGGCATTGACTTCTCTTTTCCAGCTACAGCAGTCCTAGATGATATCTTCTTCTAAGACTGTTGTATCTACATTGAAAAGCTGTTGCTTAGTGTAGCCCCCTTCGTTAATATCTCAGCTCGATCATCCGGAGAGCTCGCTGCAGCTTCTACATCAGCACTTGCTGCCTCACCCTGCACTTGTATGTCGTGGAGGTGCCTTCCTTCCTTAAACCTCATGAACCAACGCCTGCCAGCTTCAGACTTCTCTTCTGCAGCTTTCCCCACCTGTCCCAGCCTTCATAGAGCTGAAGAAAGCTAGGGTCTTGCTCTGGGTTAGGCTTTGGCTTAAGGGAATGTTGGGGGTGATGTGGTCCTCTATCCAGACCACTAGAACTTTGTCCATATCAGCAATATGGCTGTTTCCCTTTTTTTAAAAACAATTTTTAAAATGTTTATTTTTGAGAGAGAGAGAGAGACAGAGACAGCCTGAGTGGGGGAGGGGCAGAGAAAGCTGGAGACACAGAATCCAAAGCCCAGGCTCTGAGCTGTCAGCACAGAGCCCGAGGTGGGGCTCGAACTCACGAATCCGGAGATCATGATGTGAGTCGAAGGCGGATGCTTGACGGAGCCACCCAGGGGCACCAGCTGTTTCACTTTCTTATCACTTAGGTGTGCACTGGAAGAGCACTTACAATTTCCTTCAGGAGCTTGTCCTCTTGGCTAACTGTTTGGTGCAAGAGGCTGAGCTTTTGGGCCATCTTAGTTTCCAAAATGGCTTCCTTGCTAAGCTTAACCATTTCTAGCTTTTGACGTAAAGTGAGAGACATGGGGTTCTTCCTTTCAGTTGGACACTTAGGCCAGTTAATAACCCTATAGTGGCCTCTAACTTCAGTATCATTGTGTCTTGGGGACTAGGAAGGCCCCAGGAGAGGGGGAGAGAGGGGGACGGCTGATTGGTGAAGCAGAACACACACAACGTTAAGTTCGCTGAGGTGGGTGTGGTTAGTGGCTCCCTAGAACTATTAGAGAGCATTAAAACAAATGCAATGACAAAGTTTGATTGCAAACCAAGTTTGCAAAAACTGCAAAGATTACCCGAACGTGACACACAAAGTGAGTAAATGGTGTTGGAAAAATGGGACGGAAAGGCTTCTTCATTGCAGAGTTGTGAAAAACCTCGAATTTGTAAAACCTATCATAAGAGGTGTGTCTATACTGGTGAGATGAGAACACTCGAAAAATCGGGCACGCACTGTGGATGTCTCAGGGGAATGAATTTAAGACTATGGCCCCTCTTTTTTTTAAACTGTTACCGCCGCTGTACTGTTTTAACACAGTTCCCTGCTGATTAATTTGTTTCCCAAAAACCCGAGAGAAGCCTGAGGGCATCAGTGATGCATACAGGCTGGCAGTTCTATGTTGGACTTTCCAGCACTTGAGTGACTGCTGCTAACTGTAAATCCAAAATTGTTATCACCTAGTAGATCCTATAGCCCTGGGGCCTCAACCCAATTCACTCAGACCCCTGCTTATGCTGCAGTTGG